AGGGGTGGGTGATATGACCCTAAAATAACATAATAACATCACGATATCTCAGGGTATTTTTGCGGTAACGATGTTCTTGACAAAATGACAAATTAAAATTAAATTTTAATTAAAATTAAAAAAAAAATAATAATTTTTAATTTATGAAAATAGAATTGCAGCAAAATAATTTAACTTTAAATCAACTTTAATGTCACAAAAGCTATTTGTTTTATCATCATGTATGCCAAAGAAAAAATGTAATTCTCATATTTAAGAAACAAAAAAACTGCAAACATTTGGCTTTTTTGCTTAAAAAAATAACTAAAGCAATTATTTGATTATCAAAATTGTTGCCAATTAATTTTCTGTTCATTGAGTAATCACTAATCATTGCAGCTCTAGACTACAAAAGTGTAAAAAGATAGGCTATATGAAATTGTTCTAAGGGATATACAGTACATGAGGGGGTCCCCGATATATTCTCCATCTTGTAAGGGGTCCATGGCCAAAGAAATCGAGAACTTCTTCTTTATGTGTTTCATTTATTTGTGCTGTAAAAGTGCCCACATCATTTGCGTTTTTAATTTTCCTATTTTCTCCTTGTGAGTACTAACCCCTCACTTTCCAAAGCTACCATGCATCTTAACTAAATATGCTAGAGTTAGGACCTCAAGCAAAAGACTGAAATTAGATTGATGTGAAAATGTTGAATATGTGGAGCTACGGCGCTAATGTTTGAGATGGAATCTCATTTCTGTTTTTGGTCCCTGCAGGAGTTCTCTCTTATTGATGCACTGTTAAATATTCAGCAGGTGTTACACACTGCCCTGTGGAGCACCATCTCATCTGCATACAATGATTATTTTAGTATAATGTTAGCCTGGCTGATACTCAACCCGCATGGGAGGAAGATTAATAACACTTTATACCCTTTGACAGTTTCTGAAAGCCTGATGGCGGACAAGTTTGATGAATATGGCTATACGTTTATCGCACCAAGGTAAGACCGATATGATATGTTATTTTTTTTTTTTTTTACTTCTAACTTGACGACAGTTTGGAGGCAGAATTCTACCTTGTGGTTCTCTTGCTTTTTTGCTTACAATTCAAAGATGTTTTGTTTCCCACAGGATGTACTGCAAGGACTTGAAACCACCTGACAAGAACAAGAACAACACAGAGTTCCTCATTGAGTTCAACAATTACATCGACACAAAGACTCCAAACAACCCCATGTGTGAGTATCAAACACACTGACATGTTCCTCAGCTCATTAAATGTGACATTTATTTTGGATCTTTTTATGCTCTGCAGCACACTTGGACCTCATTCTCGCTGCAGACTCCTATTTACATGTCAAAGACTTTCTAAGCTCCACAGTATTTGCTCTAGTATGTATATGTGAATGAATCTGAGCCATCTGGCTTGGCATTAAGGTGTGCGTTGAACATTTAATGGAAGAACGCCAACCGAAACTCTATTCCCAGAGGTCTCTCTTTCCAGTGAAATACAGGTCTGGCTGGATGGTTTGGTGTGCATGACCAGGCAAAGCTTTGTGATGTGGAACCCCTGTGTTCGTGTTACCCATTTGATGCTAACTCTAAAAGTCTGACCATCACACGCCTGAGTGCACATGTGTGAGGCACGTCGGCTTAGATGTGACACGCGCGCTCGCACACACACACAGTGCTCGCCCGGTAATACGCCTTCCACACCCCACCTATAGCCGCTCGACCTCATCCAATTACTGTGTGTTTGTGAGAAAGAGCAGGACACGTCAAGCCAGGAGCACGAGAGGACCAATAAAACACAAATCAGGGGCCAGTAGACCTTCTCCCAAACATCTGACCAACGCATTAACATCTTTGCCATTTCTTGCATACACTCATTGATATGCATGGCTCACTTTTTTGGCCCGTTGAGTAAACGAAAAGGTCCCCTGATATTCATAAAAGATCTCCTTTAAGTTTGGTGCGACAGTTTAGTTCAAACATTTCAATATGATCAATCCAATAAAACTTTTCACCCAATTGAAATATTACTTTCACCGTTATTAGCTGCTAGTTTAATGGAGTCCACAGGGAGTTCAGAGGCAGAGAGACTCAGGCCCATGTGGACTTTTTGGCGGCTTGAGTATTGTTACACACTTTACTTGGTTAAGCCACTGCAGTGGCGAAGAAGTTGAAGTACATTAGGAATTCCTGGGCTGCCTTCAATAAAGGACCCCTAATGAAAACCACTGCACACGGAGGGAAGGTGGGGTAGGTGGGGGGAATAAAGTGTTACACCAGCTGTTTTCTCTGATGTGTGTGGTGTGTCATAAAGGTTGGAGGAGGTGGTGGGGGTATATCGACGAGCCTCGATGTTAATGGACTGAAGCGGGTCGTCGGAGAGTTCAAAGTGGCGGGCACTGCCAAAGAATGGGCGAGCGGCTTTTATCGCCTGTTATGTTTGTCATGTGGTCTTGTCGGACGTCTCGAAAAGTAATTTGTTACACCTATACCAACCCACCACCTCCAACCCTGCAGCAGCAGGCACATTTAACAATAGGGGTTTTTAGGTGGCTTTAAATAGATCTTTCCTTGCTTCAGTTTAACTATTAGATTGTGTCTGTTTTTTGTCTGAGATACAACCTTTTCTTCACAGACCTTCCCTCTTTTCTAAAATAAATTCTCCAAAGGTCCAAATTTGCTTGCATCTGGACCTGTTAGGTGCTTGTAAGTTTAGCAGTATATCAACTGAAGCTTATTACCACATTGCACTCGATTTGCAATTCATGTTGGATGCCTAAAAAGTGATGTAAATGTTTAAGTATTCCCGACTCTTTCCCTATTTTTGTCTTTCTGGTATCATGTATACTCTGTGGATTCTATATTATTTTTCTTTCTCCTTTTATGCCTATGCTCTGGCAACAGCCACGGCCAGAGGCAGTATGTTTTTGGATTGTCTGTCCGTCCAATTCTCATCAGCACAATATCCCAAGACCGCCATGAGGGAATTTCCTCAGATTTGGCACAAGCATTTGCTTTGACACAAGGATGAGCTGATTAGAATTTGGTGGTCAAAGGTCCAGGGGTCTCATTTATAAAACAATGCGAAGGATCCATACTAAAAATGTACGTAAGGACATAAGCCAAAACTCGTGTGTGCCAAAAAATGTTCAACAATTTCTGCAGTCATGCTTCGATCTCAACATCTGCATTGCCAATTTTTCATCTCCACAATGTTCGTAAGCATGGGTCAAAGTTTCTCCCATCAAGTCTGTTTTTATAGATCCCAACTTTTACGTGGGAAGTAGTGTATGCATCCTCCAGGCCTTGATTTGTGTGTACACAGTTTATAAATGAGACCTGGTCCATCTTATTCTTTTGAATGTGATATCTGAAGAACATCTTGAAGAAATTTCTTAAATTTTGGCAAAAACGTCCACTTGGATGCAACGGTGAACTCATTATAATTTGTTGGTCAAACTTGATATGATTGATGACTGATTAGATTTTGGAGGTCAAAGGTCAAGGTCACAACAACCCTGCATTGGTCTCATTTTTGTGAACTCGATATCTCAGAACACCTTGAGGAAGTTTCTTTAGTTTTGGCACAAAAGTCCACTTAGATGCAGCAATGAACTAATTAGAATATGGTGCGGTCAAAGGTCCAGGTCACAGTGACTCTTCATTGGTCTCATTCTTGTGAATTTAATATCTCAAGAAGGCCTTTAGGTTATTTCCTAAAATTTGGCACAAATGTCGACTTGGACTCAACAATACACTAAATAGATTTTGGTGGTCAAAAGTCAAGGTCACAGTGACCCTGTGTCTGTCTCATTCTCGTGAACTCGATTCCTCAAGAAGGCCTTGAGGGTATTTCCTTAAATTTGGCACAAACATCACCATGGACTTGTGGATGATCAAATTACAATCTGGTGGTCAAAGGTCACTGTAACACAAGAATTAATTTGCTAATTATGATAAAAATTTCATATAAACGTTTTATAGGTAAAAATTATGACATAACAACATTTTGTATCTAAAAGGTCAAAGGTCATCTTCAGTGTGACATAATGTTCTGCAAAAAAAAACAAAAAACTGATATACTGAATATATAATTCTGAATTGGTGACATTGGCTTCATATGAATCTGGAAACACATGGATGTAAGTAGTAAGTCTAAAACACCAGAAACAACATCATCTTTTTCATTTTAAGACTGGATCGTTAAACATTTACTTTCTGGTCAGTCAGCCGACACATAAATAGTGTTCAGAGACATCATGTTTCAACTTAAGGGATGTTCTGCCGTTTAGGTAATGTGGAGCTGGTGAACAGACTGCTCTTGGATGCTGGCATCACCTCATCTCTGATCAGGCATTGGAAGGAAACGGAGGTGCAGTAAGTAAAGAACCAATGTGTTGTCACTTTACTTCCAATGGTTTTTCTTGATCCAGCAAAGAAACTCAAAGGTGGCATCAATTATTTGTTCCTTGGCGTTTGGTAATGAATGTCCAAGTGGAGATTCAGTACAGATGGTTCAAGTATTTCAGCATCACTAGTAAATGTCATGCAGGCATGAAGCACATTTCAAATTTTTGTAACTGTTTGTCTTAAGGCGTTATCTTCTCTGCTTGTCAGGCATGGTGTTGTGGCCAGATTTGTTGCCACAGATGGAGGGATTACACGGGTCTACCCAAAAAGGTACTTGTCAAGCTCATGGGCAAGGGGGGCTGATTTAGAAGCATGGACAAGACATTATGTTCAGGGTTATCTGATAAAGAATAATGATGTGGTTTGCAAAAAAAGCTGCAGCTTACCCATGAAGTGCTTAATGTTCTATAAATAACATTCTGAACATTCACCCCTTAATTAATTGCCACTTGTTTGAGTATGAGTCATTGTCTCAGCCGGTTAAGCAAAGAAGGTCAGTCACCACCCAAAGTTTATGAACATAGGTGCGGGTTGAAATGTCGATTAACTCGTTTATTGAAAGCTTCGTCTTCATACTTGCATCCCTCTTCTCAATGCTATTTCAGTACAATGACCAGTGATGAAGTAGTGGTTAGTGGCTTCTGAGTTATAAATTATGTCACAGACTTTAAGGGAGAAGGCAGCATTTGACTACATAGAAGTATAAACCTTGGAAGCAACTACAGCAATTATTTGTTTTTTGTACTTGTTCAAGATCAGAGAATTGAGTGGGGTCATCTTGAGAGACAGGGATGTAAATAAGGATATCATCTGTATAAATATATACTTCAGCTTTCTCAAAAGGTATTGCGAAATGAAACCTTATGAAAGGAAAGCGCAATGGACCCAATACAGGTCCTTGCGGTACCCCAGAGGAGACAGTCAAAGTTGCTATTACTGAAAATAACTCATGATGTAATGATGAATTGAATTATTGCAATATGTAACAATTGTTACAACAGTGCTCGAAATTAATGGTCTGTTGTATTGAAGGCAATGCACAGAACAGTCTGGACTATTGGGATCAGCAGATTGAGTAAAGATTCATTACATGGACCCTGATATTCTATTAATAACCAGAATAACAGCCTGATCAGAATAAAAATATCTCATGTAACCACCTCAGTGAGGAAGAGCATGGCCCGACTGGAAGGAACTTTCAGTCAGGTTGAGCTGGGTGGTGCAAACCTTTGATAGTCTGCTCTTCACCAAATACATTCAGTATGGTACCTTTGGAACCAAAAGTAACTCTTCAGACATGGTACCTAGACCCTAGCGTTTCCACCATAAACAGTACTCTTAAATGTGGGCGGGGTTGTTGTCACTCACTGCTCCGTCCAACACTCTGTATTTCCTCATCACATAAGTCTGCACCTTGTTTATCGTCCATAGAACGACGCAACACAACTGCTTTTTTTTCATCTCCAAGTGGGGATTGGGATGGATGCAGTTCACGTAACCCAATCAAAATTAATATACATTTTTAAACACTTGAGGATCCACTCATTACTAAAAGTGTATGTCATATAAAAACTCAAGTGATGGTCAAAGTTGTCACAGTGACATTTAAAGTGCGCTGATGGCTTCACATCAGTAACTCATGCATTGAGTAACATTACAAGTTAACGTTCCACCTTAAAAGTTGGAACAGACAAATCTGGACCCTGTGGCTGAGCCAGTTGGGAACCACTTTCTATTTACAGTCCATGTAGACCATAAAGTCAGAGTCAGAGTTGATAATGGCATCACTTGTGTGTGTTTGACAGTGCTGGGCTGTCCTGGGAAGAAGAAGCAGAAACCTATGAGTCAAGTTTCTATAAGAGAAGTTTGGACAATGATCTGTACATCTTCACTCCGACACCGTACAGCAATAAAGAGAACGGTGAGCAAAAGCCAGCATTAATGTGTCTGAGTGTGTTTTCTTGTGTCTCTGTGTGTACATATATATATATATATATATATATATATATATATATACAGTACAGGCCAAAAGTTTGGACACACCTTCTCATTCAATGCGTTTTCTTTATTTTCATGACTATTTACATTGTAGATTCTCACTGAAGGCATCAAAACTATGAATGAACACATGTGGAGTTATGTACTTAACAAAAAAAGGTGAAATAACTGAAAACATGTTTTATATTCTAGTTTCTTCAAAATAGCCACCCTTTGCTCTGATTACTGCTTTGCACACTCTTGGCATTCTCTCCATGAGCTTCAAGAGGTAGTCACCTGAAATGGTTTCCACTTCACAGGTGTGCCTTATCAGGGTTAATTAGTGGAATTTCTTGCTTTATCAATGGGGTTGGGACCATCAGTTGTGTTGTGCAGAAGTCAGGTTAATACACAGCCGACAGCCCTATTGGACAACTGTTAAAATTCATATTATGGCAAGAACCAATCAGCTAACTAAAGAAAAACGAGTGGCCATCATTACTTTAAGAAATGAAGGTCAGTCAGTCCGGAAAATTGCAAAAACTTTAAATGTGTCCCCAAGTGGAGTCGCAAAAACCATCAAGCGCTACAACAAAACTGGCACACATGAGGACCGACCCAGGAAAGGAAGACCAAGAGTCACCTCTGCTTCTGAGGATAAGTTCATCCGAGTCACCAGCCTCAGTAATCGCAAGTTAACAGCAGCTCAGATCAGAGACCAGATGAATGCCACACAGAGTTCTAGCAGCAGACCCATCTCTAGAACAACTGTTAAGAGGAGACTGCGCCAATCAGGCCTTCATGGTCAAATAGCTGCTAGGAAACCACTGCTAAGGAGAGGCAACAAGCAGAAGAGATTTGTTTGGGCCAAGAAACACAAGGAATGGACATTAGACCAGTGGAAATCTGTCCAAATTTGAGATCTTTGGTTCCAACCGCCGTGTCTTTGTGAGACGCAGAAAAGGTGAACGGATGGATTCCACATGCCTGGTTCCCACTGTGAAGCATGGAGGAGGAGGTGTGATGGTGTGGGGGTGTTTTGCTGGTGACACTGTTGGGGATTTATTCAAAATTGAAGGCACACTGAACCAGCATGGCTACCACAGCATCCTGCAGCGACATGCCATCCCATCCGGTTTGCGTTTAGTTGGACAATCATTTATTTTTCAACAGGACAATGACCCCAAACACACCTCCAGGCTGTGTAAGGGCTATTTGACCAAGAAGGAGAGTGATGGAGTGCTGCGGCAGATGACCTGGCCTCCACAGTCACCGGACCTGAACCCAATCGAGATGGTTTGGGGTGAGCTGGACCGCAGAGTGAAGGCAAAGGGGCCAACAAGTGCTAAACACCTCTGGGAACTCCTTCAAGACTGTTGGAAAACCATTTCAGGTGACTACCTCTTGAAGCTCATGGAGAGAATGCCAAGAGTGTGCAAAGCAGTAATCAGAGCAAAGGGTGGCTATTTTGAAGAAACTAGAATATAAAACATGTTTTCAGTTATTTCACCTTTTTTTGTTAAGTACATAACTCCACATGTGTTCATTCATAGTTTTGATGCCTTCAGTGAGAATCTACAATGTAAATAGTCATGAAAATAAAGAAAAGGCATTGAATGAGAAGGTGTGTCCAAACTTTTGGCCTGTACTGTATATATATATACAGTGATCCCTTGTTCTTCTCGTTCTTGCAGAAAGTGACGACTCAGTCCTGGTGAGCAGAGCGGTAAACCTCGACATTGATGGTATCATACTCAAACCAGCTGGTAAGAGCACACACTCACACATAAAGAGGGACGGGCTCATATTTACACATTTATACCCCACATTTCTCACGTTGTCTCTTACACTCTGCCACCTACATATAAACACATTCACTCTTACAGCTATGTGTCTTTTTTACACGCATTTACCTTAACCCTATTCATGCCTTTATATCTCCTGACACACACACACACATACAGATATTATTTACAGACTGCTACCCCTCATTTGTCTATTTCTCTCTCTCCCTCTGACATACCCACACAAACACACACACACAAACCGCACATCAAGTTGTCTGGTCCCTTGTGATCCGTGGCCAAGTTTGCATTTTCCAGGTTCAGAGAGTAAAGTTGACACAGAGGTCCAACATGATCTAAGATGTCTGGCTTTTGTGTTTGATCCCAGTGGTCGGCGTGAAGCTGGACATTAGCGCCTGGATGGCGAGCTTCATCAACACCACACAGAAGATCAATGTGAGTGGATTCTAACTGCATGACACACACATTGATCCAGACTGTGACTTTTTATCACTTTATCTGCTCTGCTGTGTTTTCAGTGCAATGATGAGATCTGTGGCTGTCAGCGAAACGATGTGGTAAGAGGGTTAATTGAGTATTTTTACGCTTCTAGCTGCTAATACTGGATAAGAATCATGCAACATTTAATCTCCGTGTGTTTCCAGTATGTAGACTGCGTCATCCTGGATGATGGGGGCTTCCTGGTGATGTCCAATCGGGATGAACATCTTGATCAGGTGGGCCGCTGCATTTTACTCTCACCCACAGAACTAAAGACCATGTAATAATGCAGTTATAAATATCGGTAATCCATAAATACGTTCTCATAGATTTTTTTACTCACTAATAATAAATTAAGTCTGCAGTTGTATGTGTTAAAGTAAGGCTTTTGATCATAAAGTCTTGACCGATAACTTACTTAAAAGCAATTTCTAAAGAATTAGTAAATGATTTAACAACCATTAACAGCATTATTAGTTATATATTAGTTATTCTTCAGAACTTAGAACTTCATTAAAAAGGATGGGTCATTAGAAAGTGAAGCTAAATGTGTTTTAAAGTTATTTACAACTTATTTTTGGTGCTCCATTACAGAAGAAAGCAGACATGGGTGCTAATAATTTTGGTCCAAATGTCATGACATCATTGATTAATAATGTCTTTATAGAAGGAAAATTATCATTTGTGGTTTCTCTATTCATGTTTTTTAGGAAAATATAGTGATTTAATTACACTGTATAGAAATCAAATAATAATAATATTAAACTTTATTTGCGTAGCACTCTTTAAAACACAGTTTCAAAGTGCTTTATGAGACAAATAAAATAATATGCACCATCAAGATAAACACAGCAATAAAAACATTGATCATAGGCTCAGACCAGATGAATCAGAGTGTGTAATAAAAAATAAATAAATAATAAAATTGATAAAAGAAGGATAGAAACTAGACACACAAAAGAGGAGGAGTGTTTTAAATGAAGACACTGAGTTTGCCAACCTAAGTTCCTCAGGTTAGGCTCTATTGGAAAACACCCTGTTTACTGTTGTAACGAGGTGGGCTGTAGGAACAATTAAGAGGGTCCTACCTGAGGAGCACAGGCAGCGGCTAGGCTCATAGGGTGTAAGTAAATCTATAATGTATGCTGGAGCATTGCCATGTAGGGCTTAAAAGTAAATAGTAAAAGTTTAAAATCAATTCTATACCTAACAGGTAGCCAGTGTGGCATTGCAAGGGTGGGAGTTATATGGTCTTGTCTCTGGAGCTGAAGACAGAAAAATGGGCCCAGAATACAGACAATTACAGTAATCCAGACATGATGACATGAAAGCATAAATGACTTTTTCAATGTCTGCTTGAGATAAAAAAATGTTTTACTTTTGCAGTGTTTTTAATTTGATGAAAGCACGATTGCACGACTTTGGTTATTTTTATGTCGTAAATAAGGTATTCCTGGTGTTCATCTGTAAATGCATAAGGAAATAAACAAACTAAAACTAAAACCTTAATTCTGGTGGGGAAAAAAAGAGACAGAAACAGTTTTGCTGAATTAGTATGCCTCCATGCCAGAAACAGCTGTGGCCAGAAGTGTTATGTTTTCGGGCTGTCCATCTCTACAAATGTGGATACATGCATCTGTCCGTGAGAGCGTCTTAAGTGAACTTCTTCAAATTTGGCACAAACATTCACTTGAACTCAAGATTAATTGGTTAAATTTTGCTGGTCAAGGGTCACTGTGACCTCACAAAACATGTTTGTAAGCCCAGTTCAGACCAAAGATTTGCAACAAGGTGAGTTGAAACATGCAGCTACTTGCAATCATAGCTTGCAATGCACCGTTCTGCAACGTTCTCAAACGGTTCACACCAATGCAACTAGATGAGATGGTGTATCATCTCTATGCAACAACTCTCTGTACTTCTGTTCTGATTTCCAGCTTTTTAAGCTTATTTTGTGTCTGAATATAATTTGTAGCTTCTTAAAATATGAATGAGGATAGTGATAGTGAGATACTGGCTACAGCTGCATTTGTAGTAGTGATGAAACGGCAAAAAACAGAAACAAAACCAGGATCAAGCAGCAAACAGCAAAACAAGATGGACTGTAATCCTAATCAGAACGCCACAATAATTTAGATAACTAGCCAATTAATTAGTCAATGAGAATGTGCAACAGCGACCCACCGTCTGACACCGGAACACGGTGAGGAAGGAAACAGAGGGCCCGGTGGGGACAGGTGACCAGCCTTACGTTCTAAAACCAGCCCCCCGATGATCTGACCAGCTGAGCTGCAGGTGACACCATCAGCCAGCTTGAGTCATTGTCATGCAATTGTCAATACACATGAGTCTGGACAGATATGGATGTAAACTGTTACTGCAGCTTGACTGTTTTTTTTGTTTGTTTGTTTTAGCCCAGTTCAGACCAATGACTTGCGACAAGATGAAACTGTTTCAGAGCGGTGCAGAGAAAAGTTGCAGCAGTGTGAAATTAGCGCTGGTTACTTATAATTTTGTGGCGTATTCTCGTTTTGTTTCTGTTTTACGCAGTTTCATCACTACTACAAATGCAGCTGTAGCCAGTATCTCACTATCACTATCCTCATTCATATTTTAAGAAGCTACAAATTATATCCAGCCACAAAATAAGCCTGAAAACAGAGCAGAAGTATAGAGAGCTGTTGCATAGTGATGATACACCATCTCATCTAGACTCACAAGTCAGTCTTTAGACGCTTTGCTTAACTAAAGACTGATGACTTTCTCCCTGATTTTGTGTTTAGATGGGCGGATACAATTTCAGAGTTTAAAAAACTCCCTACGTTGCAGAACCAATAGTAAATCCGCAGGGCGGTCTTTCAATGGCTCGCTGAACTCTTGTGCTCGTAAACATAGTCCGACTAGAAACACGTGTAGCGGTACAAAATGGCTCAAGTCGCTGTAAGTCCTTCATTTCCACAATCTTGTGGACTGAGCACACGTTTGATAAAACGGAGTTAAATCTCTCGGCATCCATTTTCAAGCTCTCTGTGTGTTTGTGTCCTTGCAGATGAGAAAAGGGGGAGCGCACATTTGCAGGAGGGCGTGTCCTTTTCAAAAATGCACTTTAGAAAGGAGTGTCCCCAGACTATCAGAAGACGGAGATCTCTGATTGTCTGGTGGCGAGACTACATCTCATCTGGTTGCATTAGTGTGAACCGGGAGGTTTTTAGAACGTTGCAGAGCGGCGCATTGCAAGTAGTTGCCTGTTTCACCTTATTTTGTCACAAATCTTTGGTGTGAGCTGGGCTTTAGAGGTAGACAATGGTGAGGTTGTAATTCTAGTGGGGTTTTTTCACAAACTAACACACTCACAGCTCTTATACATACTCATTCTGAGGCCCAGTTTGTCCTAAAGAGTCTCAATTTGCCCTTTATTAGCTGGTCAAATAAAGGCTGAAGCCTCTTAAACACAATATGACCATCCTTACACAAACAAACACATTTACAGTAAGTGCACAGGTTTTTCTTCGCTCCCTGTTGCCCCATGCTAAATGCTAACAGTGGGTCCCTGCTGTCGTCTGAGTAAATGTTTTTTCATGCAGCCTCGGCTCCTTCCTAATCAGTGCTGGGTGTGCGCTGGATAAATCAGTGGCCCTCTGAAGTTTGGCAGCAGCACTAAAACCCAGGGACCTGAGGCCTTGTTTGGAGAAGGCTGTGTGCCCTCAATCATATTTCCTACAGGAGCAAAGTTTCTCCCTCTCTGTAAGCTTCTCGCTTGCTCTGCCTCTTTATGTCTTTCGTTCCTTTTCTTTCACCAAAACCCTCGGGGAGTCTGCAGCCAACAGGGCTGTTACTGTTAATTCATTATTTGTTTTACTGCACGGGGAAAGGAGAGAAGGCTCCCGTTACCTTATAGATTGGGAGATTTATACGTCCTTTGGCTGTGAGACTAAAGAGGAATGGATATGTGGAGGACAGCTTGTTAGCGGTGACCTTACAAAGTGGAAGGAAAGGGATAGTTTGCATTTCCTCACACACACACACACACACACACACACACACTCATGCACGTCTTTCAGCACACTTACACATATAGATGAGTACTACTTACTGTACGTACTCCCCCCTGGAAACACAAGTACTTAAACACTCCCATGCACACGGTCATGTCACACCTGCCCGAGACAAACTACCTCCTCTTAGGAGTAATTTATGGCGGCCTGGCGGACTGTGTTAATCAGATTATACTGAGGTCCATCATCCTGGTTTGAAGCTGATTTACTGAGTTTGTCTGTGTGTCTGTAAATTCACTGTGAACATTGTCCGCACATGGATACACACTCTTTGTGCATGTGTTTTATATGCATTTAATAATTGTGGGTTGACGGTGTAAGAGTGCTCTGTAAAAGAAAAATATTGAGAAAAACCATAGTCAGTAACATCTGCAGTGTGAATATGGAAGTTATTTAGTGCATACAGAGCGCTGACCTTTAATGCTGAAACGATTTTCACAATGAACTTGTTAGGTTAGGTATGGACTGGTCTGGTATATTAACGGCCAAAGGGTTGGTGTACGATGTAGTGTGGTAGTCTGGTATGTTGCTTTGTGTAGGCATGCTGGGTAGTGGGTAGTAGTGACTGAAAGAATGAGATTGCGGATACAAGCAGCCGAAATGAGTTTCCTCCGTGGGGTGGCTGGACTCACCTGATTGAAACTATAAAGCCAGGGTATATCAAAGTCATGGCTCATAAACTGTTGTGATTTTAAAGGACAATTGACCGACCTTTGCTAAGTCCCACCCCCGGATGCAGACTGGCCAATCATAACGTAGCAGGGTCCGAAAACAACACAGCTGTGCTCCATTGACTCTAATGCAATCGTTTCAGATTTCCTTCATTTTCAGGCTGGTTGTGTGGATTTGGAGCTAAATGTTGTGACTGGGGCACGTCGTGTATTAATGATACTCGTTACCTGGAGAGGTTGGAAAAAGATATACAATTCTTCCCTGTTCCAAAACCAAAATCAAACCCTGAAAAGTGTAGGGTTAGCTAACTAGCTACTGAAGATATAGCCTACTGAATGTATACACATGCTGCTTTTGCTTTGTAATGATTATAACAGTGAAACAAAGACAGACCCTGCTGTACAGGAACCAGTGAAGGGAAGCAGGGAAACTTTGCTGATATTCAACCAGCTGTGTGTCATCACAGTGTGCGCAGATGAACGATGTTTGACTTCCCGGGAGATCCCTGCTCGTCTGACAGCAGCATGGGGGCGAAGCCAAACACCGTTCATCTGCACACACTGCAATGCCACACAGCTGGTTCAATATCAGCAAAGTTTCCCTTTATATTCATTGTCATTTGTCGCAATCGACAGCTTGTCGGACTGTCACAAAGGGGCAAAGCGTAGCGAAAAGTCAATTATGGATGTAAAGGACCCTCAGACCTTTATACTGCAATTTTCTGTTCTCACAGTATCAAGCAGTTCACCTTACCTATGATGACCCTGTCTGTTATCCTTTGGTCTGTTCTTCTGGTCTTTTTATTTTTGTCAAAAACAATAAAAATAAAGTTACAGATAAAGGAAAATGTGTCATTTTTCTCTCCCTGTCCTCAGATTGGGCGTTTCTTTGGCGGTATCGACCCGATCCTCATGATAAACCTGGTCAACTCATCATTGTTCACCTTTAAGAAGACCTTTGACTACCAGTCGCTCTGTGACCCCGAGAAAGAGAGCAAGGCGGCTGCAGGCCTGCGATCCGTCTACGTGGTGAGTTACATAAGCCAGAGACCCCTCACACACACACAGAGCCACCCACATGCACACACCCCACACTTACATGTTCACACATTTTGATATCCACTCATTTACCCGCATGAACACACAGACAAGTACACATGCAGCAGCTTGGAGCCATACTTGCTTGTTCACACACTTCTGAATGGACACACACACACACACAGGCGGTCACTCACCAGGGAGCCATAAATCTGGATGGAGCAGATGAGAAGGGAAGCAGAGGGTATGGTGAAAGCGTTAGAGTGGGAGTTTGCAGTAACAGTAACAGGATTAGGTGGTCTAGCGCACTTGGCTAACACACCAAGTGATGTAGAAAGAGGCACTGTTTTTCATCACTTACAGAACGTACGGTAAAGCGATGCAAATGTCTGCAGACGTTTGAGCGGCGCTGATGAATTTCTCTCAGACGCTGATTACAGGCAGCGGCAGATAGAAGTAATAAGCCAATACCAAAAAAAGAGATGAAAGTGTTTGTAGGTATTCACAGATGCAAAAATTCCCCCTCGCTCATCGACAACTGAAAGCATGTAATTTCCCGAACTCGACCACAAATGTGTACGCCACGCCTGAGTGACCAAGGTGAGATGAAAGGTGCCGTTATTTTCTGATCAAAGACGCTGTGAACAGGCGGTGACGCCTCTAACACGGTTAGTTGAGACTCCTTGATGACTCAACACGGCATCAACTTGAGGGAAAGGATGCAGCGTTCGTTCGCCAAAACAAGACCCTCGCATGCTAACCATAATCAAAGCAGCATGTTGGGTGCTTTATTCAAACCGTGTGCTACTTTGTTTTCTCACTGGCTCTTTGTTTACATATTTATGCTCGCATCTGTTGGGGAAGATTGTGTTCTAATTTCCTCTGAGTGGGAAGAGAAAAAAAAATCTCCAGCTGGACCTTTTTGATAAAACCTCACCATCACTGTAAACACAAGCAGGATGTTCAGATTGAGCTTAAAATGATTTGTCAGAAGATATTAGAGTCTTTATTTTGTCTTTTTCTCATATTCATTCTCGTGTTTTTGTCCCTCTCAGCCCACAATCGCAGATATTTTGAATTTAGGATGGTGGGTGACAGCTGCAGCCTGGTGAGTCCCTTTTTTCTTGAGCTGTTTCTATATGGTTGGCATTACTGCCAGCCCTTTTCTTTTTTCTCCACGTGATTGATAACAAAAATATACACTATAAAAGCCTGTATTTCGAGTCCTTAAACTCAGATTCTAATGGAAAGCAGGCACAGATTTGTTCCTCCAAAGTGGACATATAGCATCTGTTTAATAGCTGAATTGTTCCCAGGACAGTCAACATTCCACAAAATCTTCCCTTGATTTATTGATGCATTAGCATTTACTCAGATGATGTATTGCGGATTATGTTCCAATGAATCCACTCATTTTTCATCCCCGGGTTTGTTTTTGCTCTTAGGTCAATACTGCAACAGTTACTGGTCAGCATCACATTCCCCAATTTCCTGGACGCAGGTGAGTTCCCCGTCAATTTGACATAAAGAAAAGAATTTGAGGGTTTAATACCTTTTTTTTGTAGCACTGAGATCCGGACCACCTAAATGGCCTCATTATGGAAATAAAAATGCATGTTCAGTTCTGCTCTGACAAGGCGTTCAAAGATATTGAACACATTATTTTCAAAGTCTTTATCTCGGAATTCTGGTGAAATACTCAGCATGTGCCAAGTAAATCTAGTTAGCAACAATACTGTTTGTAGGAGCAGTCGAACACTCATCCATCTTCAGGAGAACAGAGGGTGTCATGTTTGCAAGATGTTGAGCCCAGACTCTTGGTTAATGTGGCATTATGTGCATGATATTTTGTCTGGGTACAAATGTGCTATCAGAAAATACAGATTATCAACAGACAAAACAAGACAACAGATCTCTTTGTTCAGATTCGTGCATGCCATGTGTCAAACATGATTCTTGTTAAAGAATCAGAACAACAACATTTTCTGATTTCCACTGGTAAAGAACTATGCACATTACGCCAATGCTTAAAGGGATACAACTGATTTTTTTGAGGAAAGGTTGTATGAGCTACTTATTCCTAGTCGGTGTATTACCTACAATAGATGTCAGGAAGTGCGGCCCCAGTTTGGAGAAGCAGGCAGGTGTACCGCCACGGAAGCTAGGCAATGTACTGCTGTGGATGGGGGCAGCAGCAAAACATATTTAAGCTTCCAAAAAAAAGGTCCCACCTAAAAAATCAATATCAGTTTAGGTGTACACTATATTTAGAACATTTTCACAGCTTTACCTTTGCTGTCAGACAGCCTTTTCTGATGGGGAACTGAACTGAAAGGGAAACGTATCTATGTTCTCTCTAAAGCCACCAGACTCCATTGACAAAAACAGTAATTTTACCTCACTGAAAATAGAAGCTGCTAGTCTACCGCTGCCTCAATGAATTAGTTTTGTGTTTTAACGGGGTAGTTCAGATTCACCAAAGTCACACAGTAACACAAACTAGCTAAAGCCCGTTTCCACCAAACACTTTCTTTATAGTACCTTTGGAACCAAAAGTAACCCTTCAGACATGGTACCTAGACCCTAGTGTTTCCACCGTAAACAGTACTCTTAAATGTGGGCGGGGTTGTTGTCACTCACTGCTCTGTCCAGCACTCACTGTATTTGCTCCTTACCGGTGACACAGATGGAAGTCCGCGCCTTGTTAATCATCCACAGAACGAAGTTACACGCCGACAGTTTCAGAACAAGTCTCTCTCCATGGGATATTTAAAAATAGCAGGTTTGTGCATTTAGTCCTTCTCAGGCAAGCTCAGGGGTTTAGTGTAGCTGTAGCCCACAGGAACGACGCTCCGCAACACTTTTTTTTCCCTGATTGAGGATTAGAATATATGCCGTTCACATAACCCGGTTGAATTTATATATATAAATGCTTGAAGATCCACTTATTACTAAAAGTGTGTGTCATATAAAAACTAAAGTGATGGCCAAGTTGTCACAGTGACATTTAAGGTGTGCTGATGGATTCAAGTCGTCAGCTCATGCATTGAGTAACATTAACGTTAACGTTCCACCTTAAAAGTTGCCGGCAGTCGGCCCAGTGAATTAAATTATTTTTTCTCAGACTGCAGCTGCTGTGAGAGGCAGCAAAACATCCTTTCATTTTATAGTTACAGTTTATAATATGTGTAAATCTTTCCACGGTATGAACAGTGGTTACATGAGCCTCAAAACCAGCCACAACTCAGCCCTGAGCAGAGTGACCGTCCTCTACTGACCAATCAGACTGCAGTGTTCACAGCTCCACCTTTTAGTACCAGATTTGTGTGTTAGGTACCCCAACAGAGGGGGGGACCAAAAATGGGGACGGTGCGGAACGGTACCTGCTTCTTTAAACTCTTGGGGCATTGACTGACATCTACTGTAGGTAATACACTGACCATGGATAAGTAGTTCATACAACCCCACTTTAAAAATCTGAAGTATCCCTTCAATTTCTCCAGGTTTTGAGAACCATGTCTCTCAGATTTCTATCGCCATTTCAATGGAGGTAACAGCAGTCAAATCATCAGGACTGTTTCTTCAGTTGGACAATATTCTGTGTTATCTGTGTACAAGATGCTGTTTTTAAATCCTGTGAGAATCAATTCATTCATGTCTGTTGTATCAGGTTGATTTCGCAGTCCCAGGGGCATTTATCTCAAAATCCGACCTTGTAAAAGCAAAAGTATCTAAATGATTAGGAGTAAGGGAGAAAATATATTGTCTTCTAATTTGGTTAAACAGTTAAACACTTTATAGCACACAAGAGTCAAGCGCTTTATGTTCATTGGTTTGTTCATCAACTTATTCTTCTATTTGTTTTATGTTGCTTGTCCATTGCAATTTTTTGATTTATGAATTCATGGAATGTGATTTTTAAGGACCGCTGGGTCCCAAGAGCCCCCAGAAGAGAAATCCAGTGTGTATCTGGGTGTGCAGCAGGAGTCAGACAGCCAGCTCTGACTTAATGCATTCTACATGTATTTACAATTAAGTTGCATGGATTTCTCATTGTAGTGGTGAAGGCAACAGGTGCTCTGTTTTTTTTAAATGGTATTGAATTGGATTAGGCACAAATAAAGATTATCACAGGTGAGACCAAGTCGTTGTTTTGCAAGTCACAAGTGAGTCTCAAGTCTTTGCACTCAAGTCCCAAGCCAAGACTGTCAAGTTCCAAGTCCTAATCTTTGAGTTTCAAGTCCTAAACAAGTCATAATGTCTTCTTCACCAAATGTAATGCCATTTTAACAGACTAATAATGTATTACGTTCTCAAAAATCAAAACTGTTTTTTTTTTATTTGTTAAAACTAGTTAGCTGGAAGTTGTTGCATTTTCCTGTGTTGTTTTTCAACCCCCACATTCTGCAGACTAGTATTCATTTTTTGGATACCACCGCATCGTTGTTGTACGAGAACAAAATTATCTTTGGTATCATTTTTTCAAATGGCCCCTCAGTAACGTAATGTTAGCCTAGTTCTTCAAGAATGGATCCATGGCACACTTTTAAATATTATACTTTTAAATCTCTGGGGTTTGGTGGACGGCATTAAGTACTTTCAAGTCAAATTGCTCAAGTCTAAGTGAAGTCATGAGTCATTGGTGTTTAAGTCTGAGTCAAGTTGCAAGTCCTTTTTGATGTTGTTAAGTTGGGTCTAAAGTCATCAAATTTGTGACTCGAGTCCAAGTCATGTGACTCGAGTCCACATCTCTTAGGTTATTAAAGCTGCACTAATCTGTGTTTTAGTGTCTTTCAGCTCACTGTTTTGGTTAAGTATCTGTTAACAATGTTACTCTTTAATGTTTTTAAAGATTGACTCTTGTGAGAGATTTTAGCATCTTATAAGTTTAGTGCAGCCACACTGTGCAAAATGGCTCTAACAAACTTGGGTACAACATCACATTTGATGTTTGCAGACTGTACGATGACAGCACCAACTGAATTGCAGGCTACGACGTACGATGCAGTGGCTTCCTATACTAAGTGCACAAGGATACTGCATGGGTTATTACCTCTCCAACGGTGAAGCACAACATAGAGGGTCACATTATTAAATAACCTGAAGTTTTGTGTTGTGGGCACTGTATACTGCGGTATGTCTGTGTGTTGCTCACCTGGCAGCTGCAACTCCGCCGCTATTTCCTTCCAAGCTTCATCCTTCTTTACGTCATGGTAAGAGTTGGAGGACACATAATACAAACAAGGCTTCTCCTGCCACAGCTCAACAAGGTTTTTTCCTCTTTGCTGGAATCCCACAGATTTCATTTCGTGCGTTTTGCCTCCATGGTGAGCTGCTTTACATCTTGTTTGTTGGGTTTACCGCCAGTACGTCACTTAATGCTGAATTTCTATTGGTTGGTTAGTAGACGTAGGTCGTAACAACAGTCACACAGTGAGACGGTCATCCAAAATTTCTGTCAGTCAGAATTTTATCCCAGGCTGTCTTTGATTGCTGGACGACAACAGGCCTTCTCTCACTGTGTGACGTAGGACCACTGTTTTAGAGCCACAACCAAAGATATCGCCATGTTTCTTTCATGTTGGTCGTCTTTCGTCAGGGACAGCCCAAAATCGCAGTGTATACCGGGCTTAAGATGTATATATTTTGGAAAACACCTAAAGTTGTTGTGTGTTCCTCCACAGCCGAGATGGATGATGAAATGTCAGATGCCATGCTCAAAGAGGTCTGCATCACAGAGCAAACTCAATACTACTTTGAGACCAACAACCTGTCGTTCAAAGGCACAATCGACTGTGAAAACTGCACCAGGTAAAAATATGGACTTCTTCTCAGCTACATATACACACATACAGAGTATAGTTAGGGTCTAAACACTTTGCCTGACCTGCAGTGATACATTTGCATCAATGAGACACAAATGAAGTCCCCAGAGGTGCCACTAAGAGAGGGCTGTAAAAATTCACATGCCATGAAGGTGAAGTCAAGTCACTAGTGTGGACCACCGTCCTGGCATGTTCGTGTGTGTTTGATTGTGTACACGTGTGTGTACGTACGCCATTTTAAAGCCCCCTCGTGCCGGCTAATGGAGTGCCTGCCCGCGTGCCGCGCGGCGTTCCTGCACATTAGCTGCACACACGTTTCTTTTTAACGACCGCCATAAAAAAAGCAGAGAAAATCATTTGTGCACCAGAGACATGTGGGTTTCGGTAAAGGTCCCGGAGGACAGTGGGGTGGCACAGCAGGCTTCTGTCCCCTTGGGAATAAAAGCAGTTAAGAGACTTGATTGAGCAATAGACAGTGTGCTTTTCATTGTGGTAAGGATTACAAGGTTTCTGGAGCGTTCCTTAGTCATGAATGAGGAATAACTCATGTTCACTTTAAAGCAGCAAAACAAAATTGGTGTCTAACTTTCATTACATGTCTCCCTGAAATTTGATCTCCATCTTTCCTGGATTGAAGCCCATGTGTCAACAACATCTCTTGTCTCTGTCTCTTGTGTGTCTGCTCCTCTCCAGGCTCTACCATGCTGAAAAGCTGCCCAAGACAAACTTGGTCTTTATCATCTCTGATGCAAAACTCACCTGCTCATCCTGTGACACCAAGCCGTTAATACAGGACGAACAGCAGTGTATCCTTTTACCCAACGCAGCCATCATCTGGCGCAAACATGTACATTTGATTCAGTGAACAGATGTTTCAAGTAGTTTGTGTTTTTGACAAGATAATCACGAATAGATGCTGCTTATCCATAATTCTCACAACTTACTGTTCCCCTCATTTGCATCATTGAAATTCCACAGCCGTAATAATGATGAGTGAACATTTCCACAGTTATTGACATTTAAAATTTGGCCCAGAACTCAGATGTATCCATGCTGGGGTTCTCTCTGCTGTGTCTGTAAAGCAGATGGTCATGTGGGATAAGTCTGCTGAATAGCTTACAAACAAATCTATGATGCGCTCTCACACACACAGGGCTGTGGGCAATTATATTTTAAGCCCTTTGGAAAACACAATGCTTGAAAGTGACTGCCATATCATTGAGGTATTAAGCAATGCACTTGAAATCCAAAGAGACAGTTTGCAAGTTTTAAAGGTACTGTATGTACGTTTTTACATGGATTGTTTTTTATTGCCATCAGGTGAACAGATTGTAGCGTAGCTTAAAAACAGAGACCTTCCTCAATTCTTTGGTTGCTTGTAGCAGCCTGTGGACTGATTTGTGTGTAAGGAACTTGGGCCAAATTTTCTTGGATTTGATAAACCTTTAACAAGAAATCCCTTTCTTGCACAAAGTCTATAAGACCACTGCTAAGCTTGGCGCTGGCTGGATTTCAGCTGTTACACCTCATTTCCACTTAGGTGTGTGTACAGAGACAAGGCAATAATAATAATCGTGATAATAAATATGTGCCTGCGAAACTCCTCTCTTTAATATTTCTGTCCACTGTTTGCCTTGAGTATGTAAAAAGAAAATTGAGATTTTGCGGTGGATTTTGGAGAGACCCTATGACAGTGTGCTAGCTTAGCTAACAGGCTGCTAACTAGCTAACAGGCTACTTTCTTTAATTCAATTGCCTGTTGATTGTCAAGTGAGTTTGTGTGATTAAAAAGAACTTTTTAATCTAGTTGTAACATATTGTGAATCTGAGTAATGTTATTCTGCTATAAATATGGTTATACATTATATACAATCACATTATCGTTATGACTCATTCAGCCGTTCAGACGTCTTTTTAATTAAATATTTCGCAAAACACACCACGTACCTGGCAGGTCTTGTTTGCGTATATTCCAAACTACTGGGTGGCAAAAAATGGACAAAATTAGCCTCTCCCCCATGGTGACATTTAGTTCCTATCCATCCATAAAGAAATGCACTTCCTTGCGTTGGACACTACAGGCATCATCATCCATATATTTACAGATCTACGGACACCAGTCACATATGGAAGTGGAAACAAGGCATTACAGCCACTGAACAATGTCTGACTCATTTGTGGTCTGATAATTAGTAAATTTAGCAAATTCAGTGCCCCATGTAATAATTTTAGTGCCCCCCAAATTCCGGAGGAAGCGCTGACATGGAACAACGTATTCTCATACAACCGTTTGTATGATGTCCTACGTATTAGCATCCCACAAATGACGTTACATACATACGTAAAGTTATGCACTTAATGTAAATTTACTGTGGTTAGGTTTAGGAAAAGAAACATGGTGACGACATGCCTTAAAATAATTAGAATTCTGCGGTTCCAAACACCAGTCTCCTGGGGAAAGTCCTGTGTTTTATGACCCATCCACTGCCCCAACCTCCAATCTTACAGGACCACTTCTTTCTTTATTCTTTATTCCCTTCAGCATGTTGGTTACATAATTACAGTCCTCCTAAATACATGGATTATACTCGAATTACAGGTTTAAGATTACCTAGAATATGCACAAAATTGGTGCATTACTTTCTGTAGGAAATAGTACGAACAGTGCATGAGAACAGGCTGCGTGAAATAAATTGCGATACTGTAGATTTACCTGGCTGATGTTCGCTAATGTTATGTTGATGTCTAAGGCAGACAAATTGCCAGCTATCTTACATTGCAAAATACTGTATTGAGTTGATAAAAGGGATGAGCGCAAACACCATTATCTTTATCTGTGTCATTAAACCAACTAAATTATCTGTATCTGTATCTGTACTCAGAATGGGCGGGGTTTGATATGGAAGTAGGTGGGGTTACAATCAAAAGCAGGCGGGGCCTAACTGGAAGTTGTTATTTTAAGTCTGATATTGATATGGTTTGATCAGAAGCTGCTATCGTTATTATTCATTAGAAAACTAACCTCAGATTGTTATTGATCACAGTTCATCACAAGTACAGATATCGACACATTTTACTAGTACAGTAGCCTACTTGTATTTGTAAAAAGTACATTATCTGTACCAGATACTAGTTTCACCCGAGTATTCGGCTCAACTCTAATGGGTAGCATTAGCTATTTTATCAGGACTCCCGGGGCTGGTTTGCAAATTACTTTATCCATTATGTAGCAACCAACGCCAGATCAATGCACCTTAGCTAAGCTAAGCTAGCTCGAATTTACCGTAACCTGAGCTAAGGTTAGCCAGCCAGCTACACTGCATGGATCAGCCATTGCTTGCTTTGCAATGTGATCTACTAAAGTAATTTACAAGCAGTGAGCGAGTTGGTATGATGGAGCCAATGGGCCAAATGAAATAGGAGCTTAGAGATAGTAACGTTACTCTCAATAAGATTGTAATTTATTTCCCACTGATCTTTAGCATGATGCAGATCAATCACAGTCTCTTTGTCATCACTGTTGTGGCCAATGCAGGTACTTGCGGCTGTGGAGGACACTAACTGCAGTTAGAGGAGTCACTAACAGCAACCTTTTCCGAAAGTTGAATATACAACCTTTAATAGTCCCTTAGCATTTATACTAGCATTTATACTGGATCTGCTTGGTTTGGACAGTAATATAATATTTCCTAGTTATTTCCAGAAGGTAATCAGAGTTACAAGTGTCTGCTGAAAAAATAACTATCTGTTGCTGCTATTATGAAAACACTCAGAAACTGTGTCATGTTCCTGACATTACTTATCCAGCTACTGGTCCTGATCCATGTGAACTGGCTCAAAACCCTCGGTACAGGAAAGGGCCTGCGGTCTGTTTTGATAACAATGAACACGTAAGTTGCTTCCACCAGACCTGGGCTGCTTCTGGTTGAGAATAGAACAATGTGAATCGCACAGTTTTGCAGCTAAGGGTGCTCTGTGTAGAGTTTCATGTATAACACTGCCAAGCTGCTGAACAGTGAGACCACTGCTGCTTTATTGCTCTCATAAGAATTAAAGACGTTTGCAGAAAATCCAGCCTGAAATGGGGGAAAGCCTCTCAAATTAAAGAGTGCGCCCAGAGGCTACTGTTTTCGGGTTTCACTGCTAAAATCATTTGAGTTCATCGCCAAAGAAAATCTAGGTCTGGACAGCTCGCAAGACAGAGCTTCAATCAGTACTCAGCACTGACAGGACTATGAAAATCATCTATAGATCCAAAGCTAACATATACTTTTGAAAAACCTGAGGTACATTAGGCCTGGACCATAACCCACATTTGTTAAAATGCTGATGTTAAGCTGTCTCTTCCTGACATAAATTTCCTCATATTTCAATTTTGAATAAATAGATAATTGCCTGAATCTGACCACTAGGCCACTTTGGGGCACCTCAACAAGCTAAAAACACAACACTGAGTTCCTATGAACAAGTTATGGGGAAGTTGTTACCAAATAGTTGTCTACATTCACATAACATTAGCATTCATTGAGAGACTTGTATCTGGCCACCTGGCAAATGGGGCTCTTTTAGCTGTGTTTTGGTTTTCATTAACTCAAGGGCTGTGTGCACTACTGACAACATGTGTCTATATGTTTACAACTGCACATGACATTTTGTAACAAACATATCAATATACACACACTGTATAATGCGCCTGGTACTTGGCAAAATCAAAACCACTCCCCCTATGCTCAGACAGGTGTGTTCACTTACCCTCCTGTAGTGAGTGGAACCGCCGAAACATTCCCCATTATATTTTTCTACCTTGTAGATATAAGATATTCTCTTAAAAGCTGCCACCTTGCCCATTTCTGTAATCCCTTCTTGAAATAATGAGCCTACTACAGCTTTTCATTTTCTCATTATCATCTGTTTACCAGTCATAATAGGGGCATTGCTGTTTTGAGGCAACAGGATGCAATTACACCTCTGAGCAACAAAAATCTGGTCAAAAGCTAGAATGGTGTATTTAAAGGGTGCCTTATCCAGACAGTAAATGCGCCTACATAGGTGGGTTTACAACTTGTGTACACTCTGCTTAGTACACATACAGGGACATGCAAATGGGTTGGGGGTTGGTGAAATGATAGGAAAATTAGAAAAATGTCAACGTAGCAGAGAGCACAGCAGAGCTGCTGTCTTAACTCCCCATTAAGAGAGATGCTGTGCGCATTTACCAACAAGGAGCAGGGTAATTTTATTATTTCAGAAACCAAAAATTTAGTTCTGTTTCCGTTGTCAAGTTCATAATTACAATTTTTAGTGTTGCTCCTTAAATGTCCCACAATATTTGCTGCCATGACATTCCTGATCATACTGCATCACTCTCAGCAGAAAACTGCTCCCATCTCCAATTTGCCACATCTTCCATGTAAATAGCAGCTTTTAAAGAATTCATCTTACACCCATAATGCACCTATCATGAATTAAGGGACTAAATATAACCCCTTAGCCCCTTGCACCCATATTGTGTGGTGTTTAACTAGCAAAAGTACAATTGGACATGTCCTCAATGCACTTCAGACCACGTGTTATAGATCATGAAGATAAATCCCTTAGTCTGTCTACCGTTTAGTGCTGGGCAGGCAGCATATAATGGGTTTACGAGAGCAGTTAAAGGAAACCAAAACATTAAAGTTGCGGGTCGTAAAAACCAAAACAAAGAGCTGAAAGATGCTAAAACACACAGTACGGCTGAGTGATGTTGCAGAGTTGAATGATAATACTCAGTGGGTTTATCACTACAGTTGACCCTTTTCACATTAGACATACTCATTTGATCAATTATTGATAGAAAAATATTGATCAGAGCAGCTTTAAACAGAAAGTACACACTCACCGGTCACTTTATCAGGTACACCTTACTAGTACCAGGTGAACTGCCTTAATTCTTTGTGGCACAGATTCAACAAGGTGCTGGAAACATTCCTCAGAGACTTTGGTCCATATTGACATGATAGCATCACACAAATGCTGCAGATTTGTAAGCTGCAAATACATGATGAAAATCTCAAATTAAACCACATAACAAAGGTGCTCTATTGGAATGAAATCTAGTGACTGTGGAGGCCACTGGAGTACAGTGAACTCATTGTCATGTTCAAGAAACGTTTGAGATGATTTGAGCTTTGTGACATGGCAGCTGGAAGTAGCCATCAGAAGATGGGTACACTGTGGTCATAAAGGGATGGACACGGTCAGCAACAATACTCAGGTAGGCTGTGGTGTTTAAACCATGCTCAGTTGGTACTAAGGGGCCCAAAGTGTGCCAAGAAAATATCCCCCACACCATTACACCACCACCACCAGCAGCCTGAACCGTTGGTTCCTTGGTTGTAATTAGTGGTTATTTGAGTTACTGTTGCCTTTCTGTTATCTTGAAGCAGTCTGGCCATTCTCCCCTGACCTCGGGCATCAACAAGGCATTTTCACCCAGAGAACTGCTGCTCACTGGATATTTCCTTTCTTTCAGACCATCCTCTGTAAACCCTAGAGGTGGTTGTGTGTGAAAATCCCAGCAGATCAGCAGTTTCTGAAATACTCAGACCAGCCCATCTGGCACTAACAACCATGCCACATTCAAAGTCACTTAAATCACCTTTCTTCCTCATTCTGGTGCTCGGTTTGAACTTCAGCAGGTCGTCTTGACCATGTCTACATGCCTAAATGCACTGAGTTGCTGCCACGTGATTGGCTGATTAGCTATTTGTGTTAACAAGCAGTTGAACAGGTGTACCTGATAAAGTGACCGGTGTAAACACAACAATTAATGACAGTGAAACAAAAGCTCAACTTACGAATCAATGAAGGAAGAAAATATTGTTAACATTATCATCACATTCAGTGTTATAAAGGTAAATGTGACAGTTTAGTTTGTATCGTGCAGCCCAACCCCCAGAGTGCCTGTTATTGGTCTTTTTTCCTTTCCAAATTCATACTCCAGATGAAACAACTTGATCTGTTTTGGCATTTCACCTGGAAAATAAGGGGTAGCACAGCAGTATATAAGGGACCAATAAAGAACTAAGGAAGGATTTCAGGCAGTCTTTAAAAAAAAAAAAAACCTTAAGTTTTTAGTCTCACTGGACACAGCCCAAAATCCTTAATCTGCACTCCTGATATGGAAACAATATATCAGTGAAGAAATTCTACCCATGGCACCTTTCCATTACTAATATCTTTACATGGTGCATGCCTTTTTTTTTGCAATCCCTTGAAAGCTGTATGTGTGCAGATTTCCCACGCAAAGACAAACGGTCGGTTGTTGCTTGACTATGAATAACTAAGCTAAACAAACATTTTTATGAGCAGCACAGAATCTCTGCGTGTGAAACCTCTGCGCTCGAATGCTCTGTTTGTTTTCACTCTATAGTCTTTTTCCAGTGTCAAACTTTGTCGGTCTTATGAATTAACTCTGACGCCTGCACCGTCATACACACACAAACATCCACCCACACACTCTTAACTTTTTCTCTCACACTCTTGTCTCGCAAGTGAACGCATCTGTCTTGTACTACTATTGTCTAAACTAATTTTCTTGCCTTCTCTGCTCATATTTGCTTCCTAACTTCTTGCTAACTATGTGGACCTTTTGCTGCATGACTCTCTCTTTCTCTCTGTTTTCTCTGTTTCCTGCTCTGTGATTGGCTGTTGATGGTTAGGATGAGGCCATGTGCCGAAGGAGCGCAGGCTCCCCATTGGCTTCCTCTCTGCTCATGTTACTGCTGCCACTGTTCATGTGCTGTCTCGGGTCAGTCCCATAACGCTAGCTTTCTCTTTCATTAACATGTTGTCATTATCTTGCTCTCAATCTTACTGCTTTTGACTCCTAACTTTTGCACCATTTCTCCTGGTGTTTCTACTCTGTTTGTTTTCCTCGCCTTATCGCGTCTCCTCCTTTCACATCTGACTGTTTCGGCTTTGTTCTACTTCTTCGTGTCTTTTTCCATTGTTTTTCTTCCCTTATCTCTTTCACCTGTCACTCTCTCTTATGTTGTACCACCATCTGTCTTCACCTCCCCCCCAACTTACCTCCCGGTCTGTTTCTGTCTCTCGCCAACATTTCTTATCCGTCTCACCTGACTTTGAACTTCAAGCCACACTCTTTACATCTTCCCCCATCTATCATTGTCTGTCTCAGGCAATAGACTCCGGTGTCTGTCTCTGCTGACATCTGATTACTGATGTAGCCAGACGCTAGCTAAAGCAGGCCACTCACTTCTCATTTGCATCCAGACGTTTGTGCGTCTCTTTTAATGATTCTCAACTTTTTTTTTCCCTTTCCAAACACATATCGAGGAGAGGCATTTCTTTCCCCTTGTACCTCTCCAGATGCTAAGCACGCAGAGAGTGAGAGTAGCCAATCAGTTATGGTCAGACATTATGGCTCAAAGTTTTCCAGTCAAGTATAAAAAAGACATTTTGAAGCTTTTTTATATGTCTTGACCTCCTGTTTGATCCCTGCATAGTTCTGGTTGACCGTTTGCTTAACCCCACACCCCTTAGTTAGTGTTGCTAACATGCTACACCTGTCAAGCTTTCTGTTGTCGCAGAGCACATGTGTAGTTAACAGTGATAAAGGTAACACATTAAAGGGCTGTGCACACCAAGAGCAATAATTACAACAATGACTATAATAATAATGATGTCAGCATCCACACTGATGCATGATAACAATCTGTAAACTGTGGCGCCAAGCATTCCCTGCACACTCCAGCTGTGTCAGCAGTCGGGCTGGGTATCAGAACTCAATACCTTTAGGGTATTGACCAAAATAACCCAGTACTGAGAGGTATTGAACTGCTCTAGTCAAACGATACCTGTATTCGATCCTTTTTACACCGGGGTTCTGATCCTTGACTGTCCAGACTCCCCACAGGATCAGCCAACACATTCTCACTCCGACCTCGTAACATATCAACGTTTGGTCATGTACTTTGCACATCTGCATATGACATGCAAGGTATCCTGGGTGCGTTGGTTGTTGACGTTCTGGGACACCGTGTCAAGTTCTGCCTGTTACATGCATCGTCTTCTTTCAAAATACACTTCCATTTTCACAGGAAATTTACTGTTTACATACAGTCTCTTTCAAAATAAACAAACTATGTTGGTACAACAACTTAAAGACTTTTATTTCCTTCAACAACAGAAACACGTGGTCAGGTTTAGTAAAAAAGAACAGGGTATGGCTTTACAATCTTATTGGACACGAACACCTCCCGCCCGCCTCAGTTGTACTTTCACTGCCTTAACTTTCGTCCTGCCGCGTTTCCCCCGGATGCCACCGGGCACCTTTTAAACTGTAACGGCAACCAGCCACATATCATACCAACGTTAAAGGACACCTTTTTTCGTTGGTTTCTGATGCCAAGAGTCACTGCCCAAGCGCTGGTTTTCGTCGACTCTGGAGTGAGACCAGGCTCGATTAGCAAACTTTCTGTTGCTGCCATCACCAGAGCAGCTCCCCTCCTAATGTCTGCGTGGTTAGCATGAGCTAACACAGCAGCAGAGGCTAACATCCAACACAGAGCTGTTAAAGGGTACTAATAAACTCACACCAACACCTAAATGGCTCAACTCATCGTTAAACCTGGTAATAACAGTTAGGTGAAGTTAGCCATGTGATGCTAACAGTTAGCCCTGTCAAAATGTGTGTGTGACTCTATTAAATGTCCCGCAGCAACAGCTGCAACAACTCATACAGTCTTTGATGTAGTGAAGTCGAGCATAAATTAAGTACTCTATTGGTATCAGTATCACTTTAAGTGTACTGGTATTGGGGGCGTCGGTGGCTTAGTGGTAGAGCAGGCGCCCCATGTACAAGGCTGTTGCCGCAGCGGCCCGGGTTCGAATCCAGCCTGTGGCCCTTTGCTGCATGTCATCCCCTCTCTCTCTCCCCCTCCTTCACACTTACCTGTCCTGTCCATTAAAGGCAAAATGGCCCAAAAAATATCTTAAAAAAAAAAAAAAAGTGTACTGGTATCGATGCTAGTAGCGGAGTTTTTAAAACGATACCTGGCCCTAATCAGCAGCTTAGGAAAATACATATTGATGACCTGTTCCTGCTGTTCGTTGCACGGAGAAACAAATAATTGTCTGCTCATCTCAGTTAATTATAACATAATACATACTGCTAATTCCAAAGGTAAGCCTGGTTGCATCCCATATGTCATTCTTCTTTCTTGGTCTTTATAAAGACTCTTTTATCAAACAGGGGTGTGTATTTTTAAACCTCAGTCATGAGTCACAGTCTTGTCTGCCATTGTTAAATGTGATGCCCTATAAATACGGACAGATTTTGAATGTTTGTCAGTGTTTCTATTGTTCATCAAATCGCTCTGAAAGTGAACCCAAATAGCAGCACTGTTGTCATTATACTTGTGGTGTGGACTCTGCCATCCACTTGGGTTAGAACTATTTTGAAAACAATGTACTGATAGTTCTTATAGTTATTGTTCTTGGTCTAGACAGCCCTTTGATTTCAAACAGAGGTAAACAAAAGCAGGCTTCAGATGAAAAAATCAAAGACTGTCTTGTGAATGGATAACAGGCAAAGTTTAATAGCTATAGAACATTAGGTTCAAGAATGTGTTAGAAACACTGTCAGCAGATGGCTTTTTAATGCTTTCAACTGACTTTTGCAATCCTGTCATGGGATCATAACTATGCACTCAATGGCATGTAAAAATCGATGTATGCTAAAACTGCCTACCAGTCATAGTCGACCAGGCTAGACGCTTGGTAAGGTTGAAGGTTCATTAGTGCAGTTTTGTATTTCTCTGTAATGTAGCACAGTGTTAACAATGTTACTGATATTATTCTTTCTCACACCTTAAACTCAAACCATTGTGTTGTCCTGCCAAAATATATAATCTAATAATTACATTAATATCGTAAACATGTGGACGACTGGTCGACTAATGGCCCTAAATGATGACTATTGGTCGACTGGGAAAATTCTTAGTCTGGGGCAGCCCTGCATAACTTATCCTACAGCTCCATGCACACTTTTGCTACGCAGAAAGCTTGACAGGTTTGCCATGCCAACTTATGGTCACTAATCTATGATTGGACAGTCATGTTCAGGGGAGGGGCTTAGTGAACGGTCATTCGGTAAGAGTTTAATATGTTGGCTCTGACAGTCTTGTGACTTCACTTCTTTTCCTCCCCATTCGGCACCAGGAGGAGGACCCTGACTGTGGCGGGGCGTCCAGCCTGAGCCCCTCGCTGTGGCTGATGGTGGCCCTTCAGCTGGCTCTGCTCTGGGTTTTGACTGGCTCCAGACCCCACACCATCCCATCATGACCTCCGAACACCCTGATCACCCCCTCTGTCTCTCCCTATCTCTCTCTCTGTTATCTCCAAAACGGCAACCAGCATGCAACGCTGCCACCGAAATGACGAACGCCCGATGAGAAGAGCTTGTGACAAACAAACAAAAACCTGTGAGCCCCCTACATCCTGCCAGTTTCTCCTTTTGATACCTTCATTTTCAGGGGTTTCTCAAAGCGATTTCACCCGCTGCAAGGGTACAAGTGACAACAGAAATGTTTTATTGGAAGATATGGGTTGAAAGATAAGAAAGAACTCAACCTAAGTCTATCCTTCATCTCTTCAACGCTCCCCACCAGCTGAGATTAGAGGAATCCAGAGATTAATTTTGATTGGCGACTTCTGAACTTTCTCTGGCTTGATGTCATTGATGAAAGAGATCGGACTGCCTTATAGTATTAGAGGGATTTAATTCACCATGGAGTGGGGGGGGGGGGGGACTTGCTGTTTATTAATATTGAGCAGTTTTATTCACCACTGCCAGAAACAGCGCTGCCTTTTGCAAGCGTGCAGTTTATTTTGAATCAATTTGTGGTGGTTAGTTTTTAGGTATTTATTGCTTTGTGGTTGAGAATTCGGCTAGGATTGCAGTACAAGATGCCAAATTGTTACATCACAACCTCATGCCCTTCGTTTGCCTCCGTTGGGTTGCTGAAAATAATGTTGTCTCAGTCTGATTTTCTAGATAGCACTACGCAGAACATTTTCACAGTGTCTCTGGGGGTTCGAAAGATGTCTCTTACTTTCACCCCAGTGTTCTCTCATGTACAGTAGATACTGTATTTGCAGTGTGGAAATCATTGTTCATTGTTATGTTCATGCTCAGAAACCAACCCTTCAACTGCCACAGAGGGCCTGCTGCTGAGTGTCGCTGATCATTTAATCATCAGCCGCGATCGAGAGTAGTAAATTATCTAGATTTTCCGACTTGATTTTCCGACTTGATTGCTCCAGTGAAAACTTTGTTGCCATAGTGCGTATTAACCAATCAGGGTGAGCCTGGCTGGTCTCCTATGCATGCTCGGTGGACAGAATCTCTTTAGTGCCATGTGGACTGTGTGACTCAGATGAACGCTTCAGCTTTGCAGACTGTGGCTACTGAATGGAAAGAGTATTTATTTGTTTACTATTTATTTGACTGAGGCGACAGGACAGCGTGCTACTGTTTCTTTTATCGCCACCAGGAGGGAAAACGAATGAGGGGGATGTGAGAGTTTTTATTTGACGGTACATTTTATTTGCTGCTGTCACTTTTTAAAATTATATGACTACTATCTGCACTGCGATTCAAAGTGCAGCTATTATTTGTCTTCACAGTTTGAACCTCTATCTCGATGTGGTCGTGAGGTTCCCTCTTGCAGTTTATTACACTGTGGTATGTTATCACCCCGCAGAAATCACTTGGCTTGTGATCCTCTCTACTGCTGTATTTCATTTCCTCCAATATAAGTTCATCTTGTTTCATTTTGTGTGCCTTCTTTTCCATTAGTTACAAATATAAAACACGCCGAACGTATCCGTGATAATAAACAGATGGTACCGTAGGTGGTTTTACTGATAGAGTGTCATCTTGTTCGAGCGCAGCACAGTAAAATTGTCAGATTTAATAAGAAATGCACTCATCAGAGATCTGCCAAAATAATGAATAACAAATCTCGCAGGACCAAATCCAAACTTGCAATGCGGTACTAATTATAGATCAGAAAAAAATAATTGATTTCAGGATGAAAATCCATGTTAAAGTGCTTTGTTTTTTGGGGTGTTAATTTATGTTTTCATACAATATTAAAGATTAAAAGACATAAATTCAGCCAGGCAGGAAATAGTATATCAGGAAGCGTGCGATTGTTGTAAACTTGATGGTTTGTTCGTCGCTACTGTCAATGACTACATTTACATGCACAAAATATTCCACTTTTTGCCCTTTTCCCAAAAAAGACATGGGCCTCGTTGCAAAATTAGCATTGGATTCATGACACATTTACATCAGACCATTTTGTTCTTACCACTATGTGTATGTTTGTGACTCAGAGTTATCCTCAATTGACAGGCACGTATATGAGCATGCTGCCACGCCCTCTCTATCTCAGGACATACGTTTGCCCAGAGGTGTATCTTACAGAGGGCGTTGAAGTTGTTTCTGTGCACATATGAAAGCCCTTAAACACCAGTTTGGGGCCGCCGATGAGAAAGTTGAAAAAGTTGATTAACCGTTTGTCACTCTCTTCAAACATGTTTTATCATGTCTCTGATGCGCTCTCTCCTGAAGGTATAGACTACAATATCTTCCAGCAAGGTTAGATATGCTGTCTTAACACCTGCTTGGAGGTAGATCAGAATCTTTTATATACCCTAGATGCCTCTTAATAATAATAATTATCATAATTTTGTGGCACAAAAAATTGGTGGGAGTAGCCATCATCAAAGGCAGAGTCAATGAAGCTACGTCTGGGACACTCAGTATTTATAGTCAAATATTTTAGTTATGAGGATGTAAGGACGTCAAATATGTGCTTGCAATAGTAAATTAATGGTTTTAAATATTGGCAGCACGGTGGTGCAGCACACGGGTTCGAAACCAGGGTGCGGGAGCCCTTCTGTGTGGAGTTTGCATGTTCTCCCTGTGTCATCGTGGATTTTCCCCAGGTACTCCGGCTTCCTCCGACAGTCCAAAGACATGCAGGTTAATTGGTGACTCTAAATTGTCCGTAGGTGTGAATGTGAGTGTGAATGGTTGTCTGTCTCTATGTGTCAGCCCTGTGATAGTCTGGTGACCTGTCCAGGGTGTACCCCACCTCTCGCCCAATGTCAGCTGGGATAGGCTCCAGCCCTCTCGTGACTCCCAACAGGAAAAGTGGCTACGGAAAATGAATGAATGAATTCAATGAATGGTTTCAAAAATTGTTTGTTAAAGCTTTTACATTACAACAGGGACTTTATTGGTTGTGCGTACGCAGGGCCTGTGGCACATCAAAATTTGTTTGCAGAGTTTGAACAAATTCAGGTAAGAACATATTGATGAATCCCAGATTTGTGTGTAAAACATTCTTAAGCACGGTTTAAAGGGGATGGATATAGGATTCATACTTCCCGGCCAGTAGGTGTCGCACTCACACTCACCCTCTTCAATTCTATAGGTTGCCATGTATTTTCGGCCTGTAAAAATTTCCTAAACAATTATTTCTCTACTGTAATTATTTTTTTCAGGAAAATATAGACTTTAATTCTACACCTTTCTGGAAGTGTTGTGGATGTATTATTTTTGAAAAAATATTCGTTTTTGATGAAACAGCTATACATATGACCTTTAAGTGTGGATTTGTACGTACGCAATGTTTGTGAATGAGGCCTGATATTCCTACTAAGCTGTTTACAAGGCTAATGAAAATGAATATCCCACTCATATCCACATTTACATGCAGCTGTGCATATTTTCTCAGAGTTTTCCACCAGTGGCAGATTTCTTTGACCACGTAAAGCTGGGGTTGCGATGTTTCCACAAAAACCAGCATAAAACCTGATAACCAAGTCTTTCATGATGATTTAAAGTAGGTGCATTTCTCCTTTTGAACAGAAATGTGAGCTTGTCTTCTTGGCATGCATCACTACCCCAAAGCCTTCTAAACTATTGGCAATTTGGTTTGTGCACAATGACTCCATAACAACACACTGAGCTGAACATAAACGGGCAATAGGCAGTGTGTAGCAAACTGTCGTAAAAACCCCAATATTCCGATCATTCGGAATCCTACATTCAGAATATCCAAACGGAAAATGCTGTTTATATGACCCGTATGAACTTCAGAATTTTGTCGTATTCCAGATAACAGTGGAATAATGTGCATGTAAACGTAGTCAGTGAGCAGCCCTACAATTTTATCATGGTTTAGGTGTCTGTTGGTTCCAGGTATGAAATAACAATCCCAGGTTATATTAGTAACCATCATTACAACAGTTAAGTGATATCAGATACTTTAAGGACACACTCCATTGTTTTACTGCCTAATAGCACCCCTAAATAAATAGAAGAACTAATTGGGGGGCGGCATTAATTACACCACGAAAACAAAACCAGAGAGTGAGTGTGTAAACTATAAACAACGGCGCATGTTTGCAGGAAACTACTTAATCTTGTGGGGAACTGAAAACCACAAGTTAAACTGTGTGCACCACATTACCACTAACATTTGTCTCTTCACAGTTGTTTTAATTGCCATTGCATCATACTGGATAATGTCAGTTTTAATGTTGTATGCATTCCTCCGAGCCCGATCAAGGAGTGCTAAGTTTATCCGTCTCATTGGTTTGATAATACCCCCATTATTAAACCACCGCCATCAGCGTCAGGAACTTATCCAAGTGGTCTGTGGTGCACTTTTCTCTCTCAATGTTTTCCTCTATCTTAAACTATAACCTTCCAACAAAAACAATGTGGTGAAACTAACAATGGTATTTATGCTCCTTATTTACTAACACTCAAGAATATCAAGTGCCATATGGGACTCTCTTATTTTCTTGTGGAGAAACCTATTATCGTAATACAATATTTATGCAATTTACCAAGGCAACATGTAAGTCTCATAAATTGTTTCCCTGTGCTGCATGATAGTGGCTTACAAATTGAGTTTCAAAAGAAAAAAACATATCCGGTGTGCTCCTGCTTTAGTGTGTAGTGTTCGGAAGCAAAATATTCTGAGTGTCAGGCATTTGTTCATGATATGATAAGGTATGATCAGCTATTACTGCCTTTCTCTTGGGGGGACAGCATTTGGCTCCGCCCTGGTCTGAGTCAACTGGGAAGGAGAATCTGATTGGCCAGCGGGATGTTTGAATGCACTACTCAATCTGTCTGATTGGTTCAAGCCATGTATGAATCACTATTATTTAAGGACCCTACCAGTGATTTAGCAAGTTTAGACGAGTGACTACGAATCAGAAATACCTATTACTGCGGAGTATTTCACAAACTAGTTGTAGTGTTTCAGATTTTCAGCCAGATTAGCGACTTTGGCAGGTCCCCACGAAGAGGGCTGGACTTTGACCAATTTGCCAAAGTGTACAAACTATGCAGAGGTGGGTAGAGTAGCCAAATATTGTACTCAAGTAAGAGTACTGATACTTGAGAACAATATTACTCAAGTAAAAGTAAAAAGTAGTCATCCAAATAATTACTTGTGTAAGAGTAAAAGAGTATTTGGTGAAAAAACTATTATATATACTGTACACACACATATATTTATATATATATATATATAAATATATGTAATTATGTACTCAGAGGTGGGTAGAGTAGCCAAATATTGTACTCAAGTAAGAGTATTGTTGCTTTAAAACAATATAACTCAAGTAAAAGTAAAAAGTATTTTGCATTAAAACTACTCTGAAAAGTACAATGTATCCAAAAAGTTACTCAAGTAAATGTAACTGAGTAAATGTATCTAGTTACTACCCACCTCTGAAACTATGTAACTACAACTTCCAGGTCCATCATGTGATGGCATTAGCCCAAAAAACACTTTTCCCATAGACTTACATTGGGAAAGAGACATCTGTAGATCAGTGGTTTCCAACTGGTGGGTCACGGACCAAAAGTGGGTTGTGGGTCCATTCTGAATGGGCCGTAGGTAAATCACGAGAGTGTCAAGTCTGCTTTTATTTTGAAGCGCCGTTTCCTGCTGTAGAGTGAGTGACTAACGGACAGCTACTTGACAGAGACAGCAAAATAGCTTGATGACTTGGCCAAGAGCAAGTATATTAAATTACGCTGACCTTGAATGAATGACAAAGGAGAATTCTGGACCCCATGGCTGGACCACTTGGGAAGCACAGATCTAGATCAGTGGATACATTTTTTGAGCATCACAACATCCATTTGATCAGATAACATTTCGAAGGTCTATAAAAGTTGCACAATTAAATCGTTTTATCGCCATTCAAGTTAGCAGAAGGCTAAAAGGAGGATAGCCACTCAGCTGATGCGGAAGATCTGGGTAATTTTATACTCGGGACGTCTAACATTTTTAGCTTCATGCGCCACTGAGCAACTTTCATAGGAATGACCAGGCGCGTCTCAGTCGCTGTAACCAGTTTTCTTTAAACATCCATGGGCTCTAGTCGGTCCATTGATTTGGTCCAGGCTGAACTCATCAGCTATCGTAAGGACTGCCATGTAATCTTGTACAGACATTCGTGTTTGTCAGATTGGCCCCCTGAATCTAAAGCAACCAGGTTAACTTTTGTGTCTTAACAGCTATTGGATTCAACGCCATAAAATTTGTATGAATTGTGATCACTCCTATGGTCCCCATACTTTTCATCTAGTCATCTAGCCATCGTCAAGACAAAACGCAGAAAGACGAACCTGTCACGAAAATTTTAGTGAGGAATGAAAGTTTCGGACTCGATGTGCAAACTCGGTGAGCAGACTCGGGGAAGTACGTAGGCATGTTTGAAGAGTCTGCTGATTGATTTTTAAGCTGTACAGAAATTAATGGAAAACAATGGCAGCTTGAAAAGTAAGAAATGCCTTATATATGATAGATATGGGGAAAAGTGGAAATGGTCAGCAGTAATAGGCTTTGAAATATTCAGGAGTCACTGTATTGCAAAAACACTGGTATGGTCCTTTAAATCACTTGAGGCAGACATGTACACTGTACGGACATGAAGTGAGTGATGATACACACCACCTACTCCAACTGGATGCTTTTAGAAATGCACAGTTAACATGCATTGTTGTCCAGATGTTCCATTCTACTCTTAAGTGCTAAAAATCAGATGCTGTCACTTCAGGAATAATATACTCTCGATGTGATATGAAGTGTTTTTGACTCTGTTGGTGCTCTCTGTATGGATCGTGTGGGTTGGCCCTTTTTATTTCTGGAATCTTGAGGATTGCTTAATGTGTGTTTTCTTTTTCTTTGTGTCTGTTACCTTGCTGCCACTCCTTGGCAGACGAATGGTGGGCCTGTCAGTCAATCTTTCTCTGCCTTCGGTTTTAAGGCAGGCTCTTGATGGAGGCGTCCACCACGTCGCCCCTCGCCAGACTCGGCTTTGGGAGGGCCTCAGTGGGCCCCTCTGTCAGGCTCCCTCGATTGTGCTTTAACATGTTAACACTTTAGAGGAAGTTGATTCTCCAGAATCAGTCGTGTAAAAATTTGTACAAAACTGATGTTGTTCTCAACAAAAAGAAAAAAGAGCAATGTTTATAATCCTGGGGAGGAAAAAACGTGTTTATTCATGTGCAAATAAGGTATATTCAGAATAAAAGTTTATGATTACTATCTGTTGTATTGCGTTTAGAGTTCTGGCTCATGTCCTTTTCTTGCAAAATATCTCTGCTTTTTTTTTCCACAGCGGATCAGATTTCTGTTACTAACTTCTGTCACACTGCCAACACACATTTCCCATCCAAATGTGTGTGAAAATGAGAAGGAAGCACCCAAAGTCTGCTCTCCCAGTGTCTAGCCAACATCAGAAAATGACGTCCAGCCAAAATCAACAATGTCCAGGAAAAGAAAGGATGGAGGCGTAGGTCCAGCCACATCTCTCTACAACATTGAATTTGGCTCAAGGACACGTCCATTAACAACGACCCGTAATGTTCTCTGGTCATAAATTTACAGTAATTCCTGTTTTCCCTATTGCATGTTGATCAAATGGTAAGTGACTTTCTCGTTAGCGCAGCCCGCTTTACACTTGAACCTGAAAC